CCTAATAGGGTAGTTAAGATAGAGAGTAGAGAGCGCTACTGCCGTGCTAAGATTAACAACAAGGGCACCTTGTGCAGAGTAAGAATAGGTTCTAAACGTGTTCTAAACAGGTTCTAATATTCTTAGGCTATTCTAGGTACTAGGGGCACTCTATGTACCTATGCTAAAAAAGATTATAGGCTTAATATAGCCTACTATAAGGTTAGTAGGGTTAAGAAGACTAGCTAGCCCTCTATAATAGAGGTCCGCAAGGCAAAGAGTAAACATGTTATTAACCTATTCTTAACTTATTATACTAATATTGTGCCGTGGTAAGGGATATATAGGAGGAAAACAAGGCTTAGCCTAAAAGGTTAGGCAGATTAAATAGTATAAAGGCATGAAGGATTAGAGAATAGGACAATAACAACTCCTAGGTACTTTACTTTAACTCTACAATATCATCTTTTTACTTATATTTCTGCATTAAACCTATATCCTCCACTATAGGATCACTACTATTAAACCTTGCCCCTCCTACTTCTCCTCGTTTAAATAGGTTACTCTCCCTAGCGGTTTAAATAGCGAAGCCTAAGGGGAACTTATCTTATCTTAGTAAAGGGGAGGGCCTAGCAGCATGCAACTAAGAGGACGTTCCTCTAAGTATAAGGAGGGCAGAGAAAAATTAAAAAATAGGTGGTGTTAATAATTAACATTGTTAAGGCTAAAATAGTGGGCCTATATTAGGACGTGGCTAACGCGCGTTAGTAGGGACAGAGTAACAACACTAAGAGGCTAACTAGAAAATATTAGAAACACTAGAACAACTAGAACAACTAGAACTAGAATAACTAGAACTAGAATTAGAAATAGAATAACTAGAACAACTAGAATAACTAGAATAACTAGAACTAGAATAACTAGAACAACCAGAATAACTAGAACTAGAACGACTAGAATGACTAGAACCAGAACGACTAGAATAACTAGAACCAGAACGACTAGAATAACTAGAACCAGAATAACTAGAATAACTAGAACTAGAACAACTAGAACTATTAGAATAATTAGAACTACGAGAAGCATTAGCAATACTAGAAGTGCTAGAACACCTAGAACATTGCTACTAATAGAAAAGCAACAGCAAAGGCTATAGGATAGTGTGCGCTATTAGCAGGAAAATAGGGCTAGGCTAAAGTTACTAACGTAACAAGAATCTACTAAAAACAAATACAAGTGCTAGCACTATTTAGGAAGGGTGTTAGGGATATAGCTACTAAGGAAGAGGAGGTAGTCTATAAAAGTAAGAGATAGGAAAGGGGGGAAGTAACACAAGCAAGTAGATACTAACTTGTCTAACAATTTTAATTAATATCACAGGTTTATACACCTCCTTTAATGTTTATAGAAGCCTACCACCTTAACTAAGCCTATTCTTTTTGCTAGGAATAATACCTAGAGAAAGTAATATTACCCTAGGGTTAACTAAAATAGAAACCTCTAGACCCCTAAGAAGAGTCCTTGTCCCTATAAGGCCTAGGAAAACTAACTTTTAGTTCTAGGGGAGGGAGGTTACAGAATTCCTAGATAACTATAACTACTAGGCAGAAAATAGGGGGCTAGGCAAAGTAGATTAGCTAAAAATTCTGCTAGACTTTTATAATACTATATGCAGAACATTTGTAAAGAAGCTTAGACCCTACTAGAAGCAAGACTAGGAGGAGCTGCAGGAAGCTATAAAGGAGCACTAGAGGGACCAGGATATAGCCTAAAGGATAGGTACCTAAACCTTCCTAGATGCGTATATATAAGAAGCCTCTAGGA